TATGAGAAAATGAATTAATTGAAGAGAGTTCATTCCCTTCCTTTCCATAAAATAAATTAAGGACTCTAATTGGTTGATTTTTCTAATGCTTTATGCAAAGGTCTGTGCTTTGGTGTATCTCTGCACGATATTTGTGCTTGCGAGGTACGTTAATGATGCGCGTTCGTAAGCAGCTTGCGGGGACCACACGAGGCATCTACTTCTCTGCTATCTATAGAGCGACCGTCACTATTAATACGAGCTATTAATAGAGGCAGATCGTTGTTGGACAGTTGGGCACAATTCTTGATACGATTCCGAGTCCCTTCGGAGAATTGCGTCGTGTTATTATCCGCGATAGCTAAATGCGACAATCGAGAATTTACCAATGTGCTTCTGGCTTCCCTCTCATCTAGTCGTCGTCTCTTTCGCTTGGCAGGCACTACCGAATGCGTACAAGTCGTCGCGTCGTTATGGTTCATCATCTTAATATGATGCGTTCGTGTTGCGTTTTTTTTTGTTTGTAAACCGCCTTTTTTTGTTTGCACTGTGGTGAAATTGCGACCGTACACTAGCTCGTCATATTAATATGCACCGTTATATCCTCTAATTTCCACCAACATTTTCGAAATACAAGGAGCAAAAATCTCTTTCTCATTATACACTGGCAACATTTTCTTTGTTACATTTTCTTTATGTAGCTATTTAAAAGCACGTTAGAAGAATATTACATTAGTAAGAAAAATGTAATAAATTTGGTTTTTCGTTATTTTTCTTTGGAGACAGACAATATTGTGCGTTCGAATGACAATGTTGTTGCGTAAGAACAACAAAAGATCTCTAAATAAAATCCCGGCTTTCTTGTGCTAAACAGAATTTATTGACGATTATGTTGTAACGCTTTCGCGCCGGCCAACAACAATTTGGACAAGATACCGAATCGTTTATCGGGTGAAACAAAGATTTTATATCCGACGTTATTCCAACATGTTTGTTCATCCTCGCACATCGCCAACGCATATCGACAATGCTGAGATCTTGCCCTTGATTCCGCTGTTGCGATGTACATTGTGCACAACTCGATGGCTATTTTAATGCGATGCATTCTTCGTTACGTATCGACGAAGTATAGCGAATTTCAAAATAGGATATCCAATACTTACTTTTTCTTTATAACATAAATCGATTATACTCGTTTATATCATCAAACAAAATCTGTTAATAAAAATGACTAACAATATGTACAGAGCACGAAGTTTATTTTCGTCTAAAAAAAACATTTCAAATTTCGCAAAATCCTGTCCTTATCATTATCTCGTACACTGTTAAATATATATATTAAGGAGCAATAGTAACGCAAACCCTTGAGTTAAGTACTTAACTAGGATTGCGTAACATTTTGTCATTTTTAACTTCCATATGTGTCAAAATGTAAATCAACCCATTTCTGTGATTAGTTTCAAATAGATATGTCAATATCGAGCAAAAATATTGGCTATATATGAATATATTCAGATATTTTAAAACTATCTGTATTCATTTCGAATAAATAGACATTATATCGAATATATCGCACAACGAATAGATTCAAAAAAAAACGTCACCTTCTTTTAGAACTTACAAACGAAAATATGTAATATTTGATATTTGATCATTTGATGGAGGAAACTATGAAAGACTCCGTTTATTTATAGTCCCAATTTCTATTCTCTATTACAAATTACAAACGAATGAAACTCCTTCCTTTATGTCACAATGTACCGATTACCGAATGCATTAAAAATTCCTGAAAGTATTCATAAAAATGGAGAGTGAATATGAATGGTAAAAAAATATCTAGTCAATATTTTATTTATAATTTTTTATTTTTTTATATCGAACAGCAAAAAATATCGAATATTCGATATTATCGAATAAAGATAAACATCCCTAGTTTCAAAGTATATATCGCTCATATTATTATGCATTTGCGGGATTATCACAAATTTCTCATACTAAACTTTCATAACTTTTTTTTTATTTCCAGGTAAAATTTCATGATTTCCCCCGATTTAATAATATTAAAAAATTTTTTGTATTTTTATCCTGATTTGAAAACCATCAAATATTTTATTGAAAAAATGATTTAATATATAGGTGCAAATAATTTTATTAATGTTGTTGATACACTGTCTTCCACATAGAGAGGGCATTCACGCAAAACTCACAACTACCGCAGTAATTTTTTTCATAAAGAATTTTGAAAAGATGTACTTTTGTGTTATTTTTAATGCTAAATGATGTAAAAATAAATAAATTATTTTTTTTTCCATTTAAAATAAAAATTCAAGAAAAATAAAAAGATCGTAAAATCCATATTCTTATTTGTTGGATATCCCTTACATAGTAAAAGACATGTCGTTCAGGGCACCTTTACAAAACATTACATCAAGTCAAAATTGTTTTTTCTTTTAGCGAAATGTTGAGCAACATTAATGTGATGTTCTCGCGTATGTCATCTCATATTTTCGTCCATTTATATTGATGCATTAAATTGCCAAATTTACTAAACATTTAATTTTTTATATATATTGTTATTTATAAATTAAAATAATATTATTTTGTCAGAAACTTACATGGAAGTGTTATGTGAAATATAATTGGAGATGTCGATAGCTGGCGCGTTATGCTTGAAAGTCCTCGTGACAAACATCAACTGATACATACAAAATCGCAAGAGAGAGGGAAGCAGCAAATCATAACAGATTAAAATGTAGAGGATCAAGAAGTACCGTGTCATTTTGTAAATTTAAGCCATTAATCTATTGTTTTATGTGAGTAACATTTCAGAAATCAGTCACTTTTGTAAAATCTTTTCCTCATCTAGAATCTTAACGTTTTCTTAATCAAATCCATGACAAGTTTCCAATCTTACTTCGTAATACGTGAAACGTATGCGTTATCATTTGTTTGCATCGGTGGTATAGAATAAAAAAATTTTTTTACACATTGGTATAATATTGCTCAAAAAAAGACAATTACAATTCAATGATTTATTTATCAGAACCTAAATTATTTGAATTCTTTAAAAGAGTCGTAATGGCCTTGAGAAATAAATAATAGATGTAAGAAGTAAACAAATTTAGTTAACTACTCAGTTACTTTCAAATAAAAAATGTCTATTTCCAAATCGGTAAAAAAATAAAAATTGTTTCTCTCTAGCGATTTTAAGTTATGACAGTTTTCGTATAAAACAAAAGGGATCCTTACTTTAATGCTCAATAAGGCTTGGTGAAATTTACCTGTCATGCTTATACCTTCAGAAGGCGAATTATGTTCGCTAAAAATCGTTGAGAAATTTGGAGCACGATAACGCGATAGATTATGCAAATAATATTGGTAACGCAAAAAAAGCGACTCTCTCGAATAACCCCAATAAATTACGCTATTCACCCTCGTAATCGACTTCCATGTTTATTTTCCGCGAGTAAAAACTAGAGTTTTATCATCTTATTTCGCACGGAATGATATGTAATCTGAAAGGAGACGTGCTCATATATCGTGAAAACATTATCCTATCAGTTATATTACCCTCCTGTCGCATCGCGCGTATATACAGGGTGTCCGTCCATAAGTGTCGGAACAAATATCTCGCAACTGGTTGAAGTTACAAGAAAGTTTAATGAGAGAGAGAGAGAGAGAGAGAGGGGGGGGGAGGGGGAGAGGGAGGAGAGGGAGAGAGGGGGAGGAGAAGGAGGGAAGGATTGATTGATTGATTAAACTTTATTTGTGTTCTGGCCAAGGGCTATAAACAATATACAATAAAATAACAGTAATATACTACAGTGTTGTGTAATTCGGGAGGATATGAGTGTGTAAATGAAAACGCAATACAATATTATTACACGCACGTGATTGGCGCAATATATGCTCTCTCTACGCATTGCTTGACTTAATACTACAACCATACAATTATGAGTTACAATTAATATTGGATTTGAGTGAGCACTATTTTAACAGTAATTATGTTCGTTTTTCTTCGGAGAGTAAATAATCATAATAGACTGATTTAAACCGAGATAACGATCCAGAATTTCGAATATCGGGGGGAATACTATTCCAATTTTCGATCGCTGCAAACCAGAATGATAGCTTGTATATATTGGTGCGGCAGATAGGAAGAATGAAGGCGGGTGAATGTCGGGTATTGCTGCGAGACTCGGTTCGCGCCTCGACAAATCGACGATAAAGGTATTCGGGTCTGGAAGTGCACAGCACTGAAAAGGCTAAACACCCCATAAAATAGGTTCGTCGTGAGCGTACGGATAGCCAATGAGCTGATTGTCGAAACGGAGCCAGTCTCGAATCGTAACGCAAACCGTAGACATACCTTAAGGCCGAGTTTTGAAGTCTTTGGAGTTTGCGATTCAGGTAGTCCGTGAGGTCGTTATATACCAAGCATGCATAATCGAAGTGTGAGATAACAAGTGAGTTCACTAATTGTAATTTAACCTGCGTCGGTATGGCTGAGCTGCGGAACTTCAAGCGATAAAGAGCGTGATGTACTTGTGTTGAGATTTGCGAAATGTGTCTATTCCATGTTAGATCGGATGATATATGAACGCCAAGATTTTTAACGGATTGTGAATAAGGGATAGTCGTTCCATCGATTGTAATGGGGGGTATGCTTGTCTGATGTACTACTGAGAGTTGCTGTCTAGAGCCGATAATTATTGCTTGAGTTTTGCTAGGATTAAGAACCAATCTATATTGGCGAGCCCATTCCACGAATAGTGCAATATTAGAATTCAATTGCGCAACCGTCTGCTCGATGCGATGTATCGGTGAAGATAAATAAAATTGCGTATCGTCCGCGAATAGAGTACACGAGTGACGGCAAAATCTGAGTCTCGCAAATAATGTGTTAATAAACATTATAAATAGTATTGGGCCCAAACTTGAGCCTTGAGGCACCCCTGATGTAGATGATATGAATGGAGATAGATTGCCTTCAGAGTCCATGATAGCTTGGGAGCGACCGGTCAGATATGAATGGAACCTTTCACAGCTCCGTCATCGAATCCGTGGTCCCTTAATATACATAGTAATAAAGTGTGATCGAGCATGTCGAACGCCTTAGTGAAGTCGAAGAAAACGACGAAAGTAACCGACCCTTGCTCAATGCTGTGACGTACATAATCTAGCAGATTTAGTAGTGCGGTCTGCGTGCTGTGGTTCTTGCGAAATCCAGATTCTTGTAGATTCAGAAGGTTGTTGTTTTCGAGATATATTGAGACTTGTTGGGCAATCATTGCATCGAGGGGTTTGGCGAGATGTGGTAGATTTGCCACCGGTCTGGTTTGATTAGGGTTCGCAGGAACGGGTGTTTTATTGAGAGGAACTACAAGACAGCGCTTCCAATCATCCGGATATTTACCTGTGATGATGGAAGAATTGTAGATTGATGTTAGGTACGGTGTTATTTCCGGTAATGAGTCCTTTAGATACACTAATTGTATTCCGTCGAGGCTACGGCCCTTGGCCTTTGGCAACGATCTTCGTAAGGCGTCGGTGACCTGTTCGGCAGACAGGGTAGCAAGAGTGAAGGTTGATGTAACAGCGGATGGCCAATGAGATAGAATGGCAATGAGTGACTCGTCGGAGCAAGAAGGATACGCTGTCGTGATGGTAGTGTAATACTCATTGAGTTCAGATGCGGAGAAGTATTGCAAGGCAGATTGGGATCGTGACTCAAGTAACCCCATTCGTCGTAGAAAAGCCCATATCTTTACTGGCTCGGTCATATTTGCAACAGACTTTGACATATATTCTTCTTTGGCATTTCGCATTAATATTTTAAGCCTAGATCTCAACGCTCGATACTCGTCGAATAATCTTTGGCTACCCGTACGTCTGGTAATACGATACGCGCGATCACGATTCTTAATTTGTAATTTAATGCTATCGCTCAGCCATGGTGTTGGTGGGCGGACAGTAGTTATCATACGCAACGGAGCATGTCTTCCTAAGGCAGATAAAATTGCATCATTAAAGATTGATAAAACGTTGTTCGTTGACGGATTTGAATATTCAGACGTTTGTGTAAAATAAGTAGTAGTGGCAAGTACGTTGAGAATATCCGCATTTAGTAATGAAATATTTACGGGTGGATCATCTCGACGAAATTTGTATGTGATTTTTAAGAGATCATGGCCGACTGCAAAAGGTACATCAGATTGCGAAAATTCGGTTACTTTATGTTCGGCGTCGGTAATAATAACATCTATCTGAGTATCTGAAAAACGAGTATGATGTGTTGCGGAGTGTGGCACAAGAAATAACGAGTGTTCCGATATGAAGTTGCGAAGGAATTGTGATTCGAAAGAATTTTCGAGGAGATTACAATTTAAATCGCCCATCACAATAATATTTGTATAATTTGACGAGTACTGCTGCAGCTTCTGTATAAATTCGGTGAACATTAGGCCTCCTGGGCGACGATAAATAACCGCCACTAGCATTGGAGATGAGTTTCGTGTCGAATTTCGCGACGTAATATTTAAAATCAAAAATTCAGGGCTGCTAATATCGTCTCCAGAAGAGCTATCGAGTACTTTAGCAATTAACGTGCTATGGACGTAGCAGTCCACTCCACCGCCTTGAATATAACGCGAATTAATGCTGGACTTAATACTACGATCTTTTCTTAAGAAACTATAATTACAAATGTGTTAACGCATTCATTTGGCACTAACGGAGTGAACCAAGTTTCGGTAATCGCAAAAACATGAATCTTTTGGTCGCTTAAGACGGTTTCGACAGTCTCGAAATGCGCGCGCAGCGAATTAACATTAGCGTGCGCGACGATTAACGACTTCCGCAGTGTTTCAGCGCGGGGATTGATCGGGTTCAGTCAGATTAACTTATTTAAATCGCTATTTGTAACGATCTGGATTACGAGACTACTTTCGTCTTTGAGCACAAAAATCTGTTCGCCGCGATGCCATACGTGGGTGTAATTTGTTTCGCGTGCCCTCAGGCGTGTCGCCTTTAGCAGATTATACGTAGGTTTCGACATCATGTCATTGATGAAAATTATGCTGGGATTTACATTTGGCCGCAATTCGGGAATAATATCTGCAGTCGTTATTCTTCCTTTTTTTCGCTTGCAGCCGATAATGTGATCGCGAATAACTACCGATTTTAAGGTAACGACAATCGAATAATAGGTTTTTTGGTTTTCGCTCGGATTTGTTACCGGATCACCCGCCACTTGGTCGCGATGCGTCGAAACGATTCGACGAATACACAGTATATCAGACGAAAGACCAGCGACATTTAGTTTTAACATGACGCGGCGGACAATCTCCTCGTCGACGACATTGGCGTTCGCAGGTATTCCCGTTATGACAATATCAGAGTTTGGCTGCGCATATGAGTGCAAGTCCTTGAATGCTTGCAGTTCGGATGCGTTTGCACGACAAGCTGCAGAATTTTCATTGACTGTAACTGTCAAGTTATCGATGCGCGATGACAAAGCTTGGACTGCCTGCCAACCAGCCGTACACATTTGCATGATACGCGCCATTTGTTGAGAAGTATCAAGAGTACTCCAATCTGGTGGCAATGCAGGGAGAGAGGCGGGAGTGGCAGGGGGAAACGTTCCATCATTGCTCATGTTCACGGTAATAGATGCGGGAGAAATTAAACTATTTGGCATGTACGAATCTGCGGTGACGAAAGGGAGGGGAGTGGGTACGAGTAAGGTAAGTGACGGTGATCGAATCGAACTATGGTAGGGAGACACAGAAGGTGAGCTGCTCGGAGGCGGGGAAGAGACGGGTGAGAGAGGAAAAGGTAAACAAGCTCTTATGGAAGTCGATGTGTGCATATTTTCGACCTGTGTATTAGTCCAGTCATTATGTACATAAAAATGGGTTAAAAAAGAAAAAATTGGAAGCAGCAATTTTTTTCTTGGGGGGTCTCAGGGATGTCAAGAAAAGCTTAACTTGAAGTTTTCGACCTCTGTTTCCCGGTTGGCTTTTTTGCTACAGTTAAAAACACAAAAAAAAATGGTTTTTTCGTAATAACTCGGGTTCTAATCAATTTAAAAGGTCGTTATTAGGCCCATTTTAAAGGTTTTTTTATGCTCTTCAATTTTTATCATATAATATTTTGTCGTGCGACCGATATTTTTCGAAAAAAAAAAGGAAATATAAAAAAAATAAAAAAAAATAAAAAAGGAATTGTTCGTTTTTTAATTCTCTACAACTTCTTCTCAAGTCACTTTTACATTTTCCGTTGAGAATACCGAGTAAAAAGCAAAAAACAAAAAAAAACTTATTTTCAGTACAAAAATCGCGATAAATCGTTCGATATCTCGAAAAATATCGGTCGCACGACAAAATATTATATGACAAAAATTGAAGAGCATAAAAAAACCTTTAAAATGGGCCTAATAACGACCTTTTAAGTTGATTAGAACCTGAGTTATTGCGAAAAAACCATTTTTTTGGTGTTTTTAACTGTAGCAAAAAAGCCAACCGGGAAACAGAGGTCGAAAACTTCAAGTTAAGCTTTTCTTGACATCCCTGAGACCCCCCAAAAAGAAAATTGCTGCTTCCAATTTTTTCTTTTTTAAATGTACATAATGACTGGACTATATGACTAAACTCGGGAAGAAGATACGCGAGCGAACGAAAACAACAATTCGATTGCGGCTTATTTTTGATATATTCTCGTGCACAACTTGGATGAAAGAATCGCAAGCATGTAGAACACGTGTAACTGTCAACTACCAACTTTTTGCATTTGTTGCATTTAGTTGATGTGCTTGTAGCTGTCGCACAGAGTTTCCTTGGACGATTGTAAGACATATACGGCACAAATAGACGACCGACCTGATTGGACGAGATGCGGGCGACGCTCTGAGGCTCGCTTCTGCGGGACACTTAATTGGCCCACATGCGGATGACGTACTAGCGACAGCAAAACGTCGTGGGTCACGTGACGAATTTTCAGGTGTCGAGTACCGAACTCCAACCGGCGAAAAACTTGCCGATATTTTCGCAAATGTCCGGAAGATGGGCTCGGAAAATGCACAATCCAGAAGCGATTCTGATCCGAGACCCTTCCTGGACGAGATTCTGTATGAGTAGAGCTCCCAACAAGGAATGTTAGCAAGATTTTTAGATGAAAGTACGGAGTTCAGAAAAACACGTGTGTTCTACTCACCGACAGCAGAGAGAGAGAGAGAGAGAGAGAGAGAGAGAGAGAGAGAG